ATTAAGTATATGTAATATGTGAATATAAGTAAATAAATTAGAGATAATTCTATATGTAATATGTAAATATAAGTAAATAAATATACTTATATAAGTAACAATAATATAATAATTAGATATTAATATAAGTAGATAATAAATTATATAAATATAATATATGTAGTAATAAATTTGAGAAATTGAGAAGATGAAGATGGGGAAGATTAGTAGAGAATAGAGATTAGAGATTTAGAGAGTAGAGATATTTGGAGAAGATGTGTAGTAAAGTGTATAGAAAAAATGGAGTATTTATAGATATTTAGTACCCCCACCCCCACCCCCCCAACCCGGGACCCCCTGGAAGGCTCCCAACGGCTATAGAGCCGTTTGGGTTGAAAGCCAACGGCCATAAGGCCTGTTTGGCTGAGAAACAAAAAAAAAAAAAAAATTTAAAATATATCCGTTAGGCCCGGACCGGGCCCGAACCGGCCGGGCCGGGCCTCCAAACTAATGAACCGTGCCTGAACCGCCCTACCCCCCAGGCCGGGTCAAAGCCCGAACCGGTTCACCGGTCCCGGTTCCGGGTCGGGCCAGCACAGTGGCGGGCCGGCCCGGTTGAGTCCACCCCTAAGCACAACCCACCTACAACCCAATCAACCCGAAAAAAACATTTTGGGCCTGGACCGGCCGGGCTAGTTCCAAAAGACCCCTAGCCTGTTACCCCCCACCCCCCAGGTCGGGCTCAAGGCCCAGTCCCGGCCAACCAATTCGGGCCGGTTCAGAACAGTGCCGGTCCGGTCCGGTCAACGGATCGGTCCACCCCTTACTTATGTGACAAGTAAGGCCATAAGGACAATTAACTATTTCCCTCGCGGGAGATGCTCTAATTGTGCCAAGGATTTGGAGGGAGGTGCAGCGACTAGTTTTGAAGTCAAGTCAAAAGCACCACCGTAGAGTATAAATATTGATCTTTCACATCCCCAGGGGCGGACCCAGGAAATCCGTCTTGGGGGGTTCAAAATATTTTTTGGGGGTGAAAATTATTTTTTTTAGGGGGTGCAAATTATTTTTCGTATATATATACCCTAGAATTTTTTTTGTTGGGGGGCGGTTGCCCCCTGGGTCTGTACTACAGTCCGCCCCTGCACATCCCCCGATCCAAATCCCAACACTTCACCCAGTTGGCCAGTATATGTATCCTAGAGCGTGGTTTTCACAACCTAAGCATAAATTTAGCACCCAAAGATACTATACAGTAAGAGTAGACTGGTGTAGGACTTGTTTCTGATAAACAAAAGCTCTTGCACAATTCATCATATAAATAATTTTGAGGCATAGAATTACAATACAGTTGAGAAGATATTTATTGAATGAAGCCTCTAGTTCAATAAGCAATCTAAATCCCACACTCCATTTACAAGGGGTGAATTTAGCCAATTATAAATGTAGACACGACCTAAATTCCTACCATCGATTCAAACCATCCTTTTCAGTTTTTCTTTGCCTTCGGTTGCTTCTTGGGCTTCACTTGGGGTGGAAACACAGCACGAAAAATCCAAGCTGCCAATATTGCTCCAATGAAGGGGCAAATCCAGTACACATAGAACTGCTCCCACGTATTGTGCATATTGTTTAAGTAAGCCCAGCCAAATGCCTGCCCATACAAACCAGCAAATCGTTGTATAATAAATTAGCACATATCGTAAATGACAAACAGAAGAATATACTGTACTCCGTAGTTAATTGTGTCCCAGTAAAATCAATTTGAACATTATACAAGTAACACTGTATTACTAGAACACAAGGATGATGCAAATTCTGCAAAAAAAATGAGAGAATATTGGATATAAACACATGCTCTCTCTGTTCATATTTTACTCACTCCATTAGATTTTTGATAGATTATGAGCAAAGGTTTAAGGATGGTAGAAAGTGTAGAAAAAGGGAAGAGTAGGATGAGAAAGTAGGAAATGTTGGAAAGAGAATGAAAATGGAAGGGTATATAGGATTTTAATAATTTTGTAATTTGTACTTGCCAAAAAGAGGCAGTGGCTCAACTAAAAGAGGTAAAAGAGGATGTACATATCAAATATCAAATAGCTTATAATGCACAATCTATTTTTCTATTTCCTCTTACCTGGAAATTCAAAAGCAGACTTTAAAGTGTAAAACGTGTGACAATGATAAAGAGTGCAATCATGTCAACAAAATTCAGAGGATGACATTGAAGCATACATAACACAAATGTGCATTTCTTTCTTTCCCTTCACTACTTTGTTTTCATACTGGACTACTCTAGCTTCTGCTAAGTAAAAACTAAAATAGACAATAACAAGGGTAAAAAAATCCAGGTCTTCATGTAAAACTGAACAAATCAAGGGAGGGAAAAGAGAGAAAACATAGTTTTGGATTACTAAAATGCAAAAGCATAGAACAGAAATTCATGAAACCTAGACCACAGAAAATTGAATAATAGAGATCCAATATTTCTTTGGCCATCTCATTTAGATTAAGCAAATAAGGCATGAATTGAAGCAAGGATCTACAGAGAAAATACCAAGGAACGCATTATGCATATTCCGCAGACCACGGATATACAATACAAATACAGGTGAAAAAATATACTTACATTAGCAGGATTCATAGAAGGTCCTGTATAGCTAGAACCGGCAATTACTAGAGTAATAGTTGATATGGCAAGCAACCAATTCTTGACAAATGAATTTTTAGGACCCCTCAGAACGACGATGAAGACAATAAAGGACATGATGAAAGTCAAGACACCCTCTGCAATGGCTCCTGTGTGAACATCAACTTTCAAAGAAGGCCCACCAATCATATGTTTGTAATGTGGAGGGATTACTTCCAGTATCGCAATTGCACCAGCAGCAGCACCAGCAGCCTGTCAATTATACAACGAGAGGCAGTATCCAGTAAGGCAATTGAGAAAGATTATAATGAATTTGACTATCTATTCATCACTATGACGCCAATTTAGAACAAGGTGCAGGGGAAGATTGATTGCATAAACGAAAAAAGCTTTGATTTATCCATCAGTACTACTACTGAAAGAAACGAAGAAGACTAACCTGAGCGGGAAAACGGACGGCAGCGGAGATGAGAGAGTCACTGCCGAATCCAGCAGCGTAAAACGAAGCAATACCGGTGGGGTTAAAGCTGGCGCCGCCGAGGGCATCGCTCAGAATACCAAAAACGAACAAGAGGACGAATAACATGGCGGTGGTGATGAAGAGAGACGCCAACGGATGGACAACCCCAAGCGCGGAGGCGACAATGGAGGTAGCGACGCCGAGTGTGGAGGCGGAGAAGACCCACATGAAGGTCAACACCGCATCGCCGATCGCAGCCGAAATGACACCCATAGTACTCAGCACTCTGCCGTAATGAATGAATGGATGAGCGAGTGATCACCGAACCTCTCGTTCTCGCTCTGCCTACGCCTGTATATGGTGTATGAAGATCAGAAGAGGGCGCTAATTGGTGTGAATAACCTACTTAACTTCTCCCCAAACCCTAAACTATGAGAATCCTCCTTTCTGCCCAGATAAGCCGCCAACGGGAGTCAAACTGGGGAAATGATGCAGAAATTCAAGAGTAGCGAGAGATAGTTCACCCAAAATTGTCCCCAATTTTATCCCATGCGTCGTTTCATGGGAACGACTCCAACGCATACCGGTTTGGTTTTATGAACAAAATCTTATGAAATGGAAGTATATGCAATTTGATTTGGAGTTTGTACCATTCTAAAGCATTTGTTTCAAATTGTATTAAACTGAATGGAAATCAAGAAAAGTTGAATAAAATCGAATTAAAAAAAAATTCAATAAAACTTTCATATATTATTGAAAATAATAAATTCAAATCGGATCAAACATAATTAAATCGCACCGAACTAAATCAAACAAAACCGAACCGAACCAAATCAAAAGATAATACTACGTATGATCTTTGTTTGCTAATCACCCTTTCAATTTATTTCAATCCGAACCGAAAATCAATCAACCAAATCGAAACCAAAACGTCCACCCCTAACCGGAACTTACCAAATCGCACTCTTTTAACTACACTTTTTTGTGTACAAAATATAACATATTCGGTATGTTGGAACATATATGCTCTCAATTAGATTGAATTTTTTTATTCTATTAAGTTTACAACTATGCTATAGGTGCCCCATTTTGGATATCCCATTTTTACCCCACGCATTGTGTGCATATTTCAGTCCTTTTAAGTGGGGCAATACATTTATGTCTAATATGAATGTATTTCACATTTATTAAAATCTAATCGAGTTAATTCTGGTCTAATCTAATTTTTTCTATTCAAGTTGATATGGGAGTGAAAATATTCCAACTACATCATCCATAACTTTACATTGACTATTTTTGAAATTTTGTAGCAATTTGTTCATTTTATAATTAAAGAATACTATAATAACATTTTTATTACTTACTAATATTAATAATACGGAATATTACTCATTGTAATTGAAAACGTGCTCGTTTTTATGTTCTAAAAAACTAATTTTGTATGAAACAAAAGTTTATTTATCATCTAAATGTATATGGTTAAAAAATAAGATGATTATTTTAAAAGAAAAAACACAAAAATACTACAGTTTCGTAATAATCTTCCAAATACATTTTGCACATAGATTAAGAAAATGAAAATTGTACAGAAAGAGGGTGAAATGATATGTATAACAAATTTTTGTCATCATAGAAATTGAAGATTATTATTTTGGGAAGTATGTAGTATGTACAACGTAATTGAGTACGTTCAGTAGGAATCTAGAAATGATTTTCGAAAAACTAGGGTAAAAAATTGCTTACTTCTACTCCGTATTAGATTTTCCATCACGATAGATAGACACTTAGACTCTTCACCATATTGTTTACTGCGTACATTAAAAATACACAAAACTGTAACTGAAAATGCTGGCATTTGCAGCTTGTAGTAAAAATGATTTTTAGATCGAAAAGCCATTTGAAGAAGCTGTGTTACCGAACCTGAATTTGACTTTCAGACCAATCCAAATATGGTTGATAAGTTAAATTGAATTTAAAGAATATATATCGAATATAGATGATGTGAGAAAAGGCAAGATTGCCTAATACGAAGTATATAAATGAGTAATAATTAAAATATGACAACATGAACAACACTACAACTCGTTTCTAACGAGAAGTGAGAAGAGTCGTTAGGGTGTGATATGATGCGCAGGAATCCTCAATTTGATTTTTCATGATTTTCATTTTTATTTTCTTTCCCAGATTAGCGAGGAATCCGTTCTTCTCTGGTCTCAAGGGCATCCAATTCCTCATTTGACAGGAGATCAATAACAGGTTCATACACATCCCAATCCCTCCTTTTGCTGCAAACACACGTGGTAATAAATTCATGAGGAGAGAGCAAAGTCAGAAGAACCAAGCAATCAACCATAAATCATCCAGTTCAAGTTATAAAACTTATAATTGTGATTCACAAACTTGATTCTGAATGGGTTCTAAATGGATTCATATTCTCATATTTGGTTCCCCTCCCCCCTCAATGTTCAACAACAAAACGTTAGTAAGCAATCTTACCGGACAACACTGTTTTTATTGCCAAATAACTTCACCACGTCCACTCCAGCTCCAGCTGTCTTACTAAAAGAGATACAAAGGATACGTGAGATAAAAGGAATTATTGTGATGATAAAGGAATGATTATTGCTTATTCTTTAGGGGTGAGGAAGTGGGCTGTGAAGGTTTGAGCCAGACAAATGCTATTTGGCATGACAAAACTTGAAATATAAGGTATTTATTAGTTTTGAGCTTCTTGCTTTTGTGTTAGCTTTCAAATATGTTTGCTTTTCTTCTATACATTTTTCTGTTTCTAAAATTATTTCAAGTTTTTAACCATAACCTTTGATGGCATTTCGTATATTTGAACTACATTTTCTTTTACTTCGTCAAACCTTAATATTGAGATCAACTGACTTTTACATTACTAGACTATTAGTTATATGCTTTTAGTTAACTTACAACCATAAACTACCTACTGAGTTATCATTTATCATCTCCAAACTAGCAGAAAATCAAAAAGGAAAACTAGAAAACAAAAGATTACCTTGCAGGTAAATGTTCAAATCCTCTGCGACCCTTCTTATGCATTTTGATTTCCCTTGTTGATGCAACACTTTGTACAGCAATCTATGGCATTACATGATATACCGAGTTATAATGTATTCCAGCCCATTTTTACATGTGTAATGCCATTTCACTATGGATCCTGAGATGAGTACATCTATCATATTTCAGAAATTTGTTTTTGCACCAGATGTTTAGGAGATATTGAGATTTGCAACCCATTTTTAAAAGGAAAAATTGATAGTAATAATCTCAACTATTGGCGGTTCACTCATAATAATCCCAACTATCGATTATTTCAGAATAATCCGAACTTTAGGGACCTTCCGCCAATAATGGTCCCTATAAATAAATTCATGTAGTTTCTAAAGTGGATGAGGAAAGATATAGCAAGTAATCCCTATAAATAATCTCAACATTTAATTTTTACACTTAATTTCTATTTAAAATTCACTTTTTATAGCAGGTAATATCTGGTCATGGACCATTATTGGCGGACGATCCATATAGTTGGGATTATACACAAATAATCAATAGTTAGGATTATTATAAGCGGACCAGAAATAGTTGGGATTATTATTTTCAATTTTTCCTTTTTAAAATATTAATAATGTATGCATCCCATCAATTTAAAATTTTGGGAAGGATTGGGATGCCGACATTTTTTTAACAAATAGGGTGCAAAGTCCAATTTTGCCCAACATATGGGGTGCAAAGTCAAATCCCCCATCAATTTTTTAGCATCTCACAAAATGTTCACATTGCCTATAATAAATCCAATAAGATTATAGAGAAATAAATACTCCGTACCAGGGAGAGAAAATAGGGAGGAAAACATAGAGAAAAATTGGAAAGTAAAAAAGTTGGGGAAAATGAAAGATAGGCTGAAACTCAATAAAATTATTTTAGATATTTGCTCAAACTCATCTTATTAATTTATGTCTATTATGTAAGAGCTCTAATTATACGCAAAATGATTTTTGACCAAGTGCAAAACTAAACATAAGAAAATAACCTCTACTTGCCATTTTTGCTTTGCCTGTTATTTCCCAGGATCTGAACTTAATATAAAAAATCAAGGCACATGTAACAGGAAGGAGTACCTGAGACCTCCCTTACCATAGAGTCTCAGGCCGGTGCGTTGAACCACAAAAGTTTTTATAAGTTGAAGTCATTTGTTTTTTAAGTTAGGCATTAAAGAGAAGCATTCTGTAGTTGTTCTGTGGAGTGTGATAAGTAAATTGCAGTAAATGGAAAAAAGTGATTATGTTTTATTTTACATAATCACTTTCCCCAATTTTCCTTTTTCCTGTATTTGCCCAACTCTTTTTGTGCACTAAACAACATAAGTACTTCACAAATATAACAAGTGAGAACACTTTTTAAAGACATGGTAGAGGTAAAGCATTATTGTATAGTACTTACTTCATACAACTGTTCTCTGATAGAAATGGCAATAGCAGGCTGCAAAGACAGAAGGTTTTATAAATAAATGATACCAGAAACTTTGAGCACATCAAATTTAACCTACTCCAAAATAAATGTAAATACTTAAAAAGTCCAATACCTTCCATCATTTGCAATGGAGCCAAAGACTCACTATTTTTTGGTTTGGGAATATGATGGAATAAAGCAAAATGGCTCACTAAATTGCCTGTGCTTCTTTGTTATGGCTCACTATGTAATTTTCGACGCGATTTTCACTATGGGTCATCCGGATGCTTTAGTACAGGGGTAAGACCGCGTACATCCGACCCCCACCCATACCCCACCAAAGGTGGGAGTCTTTGCGGCACTGGAGGTAATGATAATGATGACATAAAAATTCCAATATTATTCATTTTTATTTTCTACTATAAGTGAACTAATAATAAGGTAGAATGTTCTTACTAAGAGGATTTTCTTCTACTATTAATAGTTAGATGAACATACATTCCATTTACAAGCTACAATAATAGAAAAGCGATTATAAGTAGAATGTCCATACTCCAACTTCTGGGTCTTCAATTCCCATATCTTTGCAAAGATTCCTTGCAAATTCTTCTGGGTCACTCTCAAAATTATTCAAGTCCTGATAAAATAGTTTTGCCCATCTTCTGTCAGTGATAAAGTGGTTGGATAAAAATAGATCTCCCTTCATCCCACTCAACTTTGCCAACTTTCCTTTTTTGTTTGTCCCAAAAACTTTGTCACTTTCCTTTTAAAGCAATGAATTTGTGGTTCTGCTTGTTTCTCTCTCCTTTGCACAACCTCAACCTCACAATTTTTACTTTTCTTATTTCTCACCTGATTCGAAGTTGGCAAAGTCTACGGACAGAGGTAATAGTTTAAAAGTTTAAAGATATCTCATCTGAAAGCCAAGTATCAATATATTGTAGAATTGAAGAGTTTCACCTCCAATTTTGGACGCTTACCCACAGGAACTGGTCCTTTACCAAGGTATGATTAACTCGAAGATCAAGCTGAGCAAACCAACAATATTTAATCAATCATATTTCACAATGACAAATTGTGTTGGCAGACTAAAGCAAACATAGAAAATTAAAGAAAAGAACTGAACATCCAGATATAATTGTTACCAACCTTTATAGGAACAAATTTTTCTCCAGTGAACATATCCTGCCCCTCATATGATCGAAACTCTGCCAGTTGTGACTACAAAGTTGAAAGCAATTACAAATTGTAAAAGAAGAGACATGTAACAATTGAAGAAAGGATAATGAATTTCTGATTTTCAGAGTAGCAGAAGTCTATAGAAATTCACCATGCGTTATAGATATCAGTGATTTATTTGAATTTTAGTTTAACACTTTGTATTTTAATCTTTTAAATTTATCTCCACTGGGTTATGCAATTCATTAAAGATATCAGTGATTTTTATCTTTAGCCTAAACCCAGTAAAGCAATCCATATTTTAATCCTCAAGGCTGATTTGACCAGTTTCAGCCTGTAATAATTTTTCTCTGCAAGTACCAAATTTAGTTTGCTTGTTATTTGAACTCAGATAAACATTTGGGCAAATCTTTTAATGTGTTTAGTAGATAACTGAATACTGAGAGCACAGTCAACCAATATATAAATAAAGCAAGCATGGGTGTTTATATATACTTGAATGGACTGAGCAATCTGTGTGACGAAAGCTGGGGGGAGTTTCAGGTCTTTTACAGTTCTTTTTGCAAATAACGCCACCTCTGTGTCAGGATCTGTAGTCACGAATTTAGCAAGTTATTTGGCTGATGATAAAATTGAAACCATACTAACAATAATGAGAGACTTTGGAGCTGGGGCACTTTACCCGAAGGGTTCCAAATAAAAGCGTCTCTGAGCCGCTGGCCGTCGATTTCAATGTCGAGACGGATAGGAACCAGATTGTCAGCCGTCGGACTGTCTTACAAAATTAAACATATCATCATTCCTGTGACAAATTGAATGCGGAAAACGATAGAACTAACAAAAGGATTGAATTTGAGGGGACTTTAAGCTTTGCAGGCGATGGGCAAAAATGACAACCGTGAAGCTCAATTGAAAACATGGGGAATTACATCTTGAATTTGACGGGAGTCTTTGCGTAACTCCAAGCCGAGTGCGGTTTCATCGCTCGTGTTTCTCTGCTGTCCACCTACAGCAAAAAGCGGATTTCGGATTTAAGGGCGCGCCAAATTGCTGGTTTTACAGAAGAAGTGATGAACTAGACCCGCCGAAAAGGTCACCGTCGGGAGAACTGGAGTAGGCCGTGCTTTTTATTTAGTTTTATTTTTAAAAAAAGGGTGAATTGGTGTTTTCACTATGGGTCTGAAAACCCGAAAACCGGATGAAATTGTATTGAACCGTAGCCAAATAAAACCGAACCGCTAACAAACTGAAACCGAATGTAAAAAACCGAACCAAACGGTAGTTGTTTGATTCGGTTTTGGTTTTTACACTTCAAAACCGAACCGAACCGAAGAAACCGAACTAATTAAAATTATAGAATTTATTTGTCAATTGTTAAGCATTAATCCTAACTAATCCTAATATCATTAATAGTATTTGGTTTTCTTGTGCTAGAAAAAAAATGTTTGTGTTATGTTTAGTTTAGTTTATAAATTCATTTACACATTCATGGCCTGTAATAATGTAGCTATACTGAATGACAGGCCCGGCCCGAATAAATGGAAGGCCCTGTTCAAACTAAAATATGAGACCCTAATATTTAATACAAAGTGCTAATATAATAATAAAATAAAAAGAAATACAGAGTATCAAATTTCATAATACTTCTTCATACTAATATGCAATTCTACATATTGAAGTAACGCATCAGTGATCAAAACTACATCCAAAATTTCAAAAATGCTATTATTGCTATCCTAAGATCTTTGTAATAAAATATTCCATAATGTCATAATATGCAACTATCTCCAATATGAAACTAAAACTAATGCATTCAGCCACTCTTGTGTCATTGTACACTGCATCTAGATTCATATGTTCTTATTCTAGGAGGTATTACAAAGTTCTAAATTCTAATTTATAAGATGCAGAAGAATCCATAATTACAAATTAAAGAATGAGAACAAAACACCTGTATTAGAACATGTCCGCTTATCAGTTGCTTTGGGTATAAATTGATTATTGATTAATTGGCTTATCATCCTATCGAGTTGCCGGTAGACGTTGGCTCTGCAGCCCTATTTTCTGCCTTCTGGAATCTGGTCGCTTGACTAGTTGCCTTCGAAAGTCGCAGGCTCGCACACGCGAGTAAGAAGACAGAATTCACTGATCGATGAATCAAGATTGAAGAAGAATGAAGCAATTGGAAGACCGAAATTCACAGGTTCTGGGAATCGGCTCACTGTCCGTAGCAGATTATATGAGATATATTTAACTTTAAAATACTAACGATAAAAGTATAAAGTTCAAGCGTTTCGTAGCCGCTTGAGTCGTCAATCTCGGTAATCTCCTCGAAAATTGTGGTGCCGCCCTGTCTCTCGATTTTCTAGTTGTTCGCAGATGAAGCGTCGAATATCCGTATGAGGAAGCGAGGGACGTCGGATGAGCCGCTTGCTTTCTCCTTTCCACTTGATTGGGCCGTCTACTCGAATATGTTTTGCTAGTGAGCCTAGGAGTATACACTAAAGGCTAATAAAAATTGGGGGCCCTTCCAAAATTGGGGGCCCTGTGCAGCTGCACCACTTGCACCTGGGCCGGGCCTGCTGAATGATGATAATATGTTTTTACTAGTTATTGGTATTAATTGACTTTTATTTTAATTTAACTTAAAGAATTCATATTGATGAAACAATAAATATTCATCTCAACTATATCACATAGGACATATATGCTCATGAACTTTTTTTGAACTAATCATAAACAATGTAAATTAATAATATATATACTTTTTCTCTCTCGCATACTCATATAGTCATATAATTCAAGACATATTTATTTGTTTTCATTTTTATTTTATTTGTTGTAGTGTCCTTGCATTCTTTATGTAACATGTTTGATCTCTCGAAGTATTATATCAATTTTAAATCAAATGATAACTTTTCGGTAAAAAATCGAAAAAACCGAAACCGAATCGAAACAAACCGAACCAATCAAACCGTGGTTCCAAGTTTTGGAGTGTGAAACCAAACCGAAACCGAACCGAACTTTTTACTTTGGTTCTATGTTTGGTTTTAGGTCAAAATCAAACCACAAGAACCGAACACACCCCTGGTTTTCACAGTTGGTGTTTTTTTGTTGATGAAAATGTCATCAATGGATTCAACTTCAACAAATCATTCGTCTGTCGGGCTTACAATTGAAAATTACGGAAATTCGAAATTAACAACCCAACCAGACACAGAAACAACTATTTTAACTAGAGCACGAAATGCTTGATTCCATGGCTTTCTGCACCATCGATTTGATATACCTTTTTTTTTATAAAAGGGCATTCATATCTTCATATACGACCCTCACTTCGACGTCAACTCTTTCCCTTTGAACTCCAGACACTACAAAAGTCGCATTTGTTTCGACAATCACTTTGTCTCGATGATCCTCTTTAGCCCACGGTATTGCTTCCCACATTTTCAGGGCTTCGGCTTTAGTTGGACTCCACACGCCTTTCTTGTTCTAACATAAAGCCTTTATAAAGCATTGCTATTTTCTGCAAATCCAACCCACACTCATCTTTGAGCTTTTGCTCCGTTTGCAGCAACGACATTAAATTTTAAAGTTGACATTTGATTTACAATTGAAGATTTGGCTTTAAGCATTCTGAATATTAAAAGAATAGACGAAACAGACAAATCATCATTATTATACCGTGGGCTAGGAAGCTTATGTTTTTATTTGACACAACATGAGTTTTCCTCGATTCTTAGAACCAAAATACTTTTGCCCATTGGGCGATTTCCTCTTTAGGAGAACTCTCCAGATAAGATTAATACATAGCATTTTTTTTAAAAAATATGGTCTACTAGTTTAAAATGTCATGATGGGACTTTTTGTGATTGAAAAAAAAAATAGTCTCATGGGATTTAGAGGACCGTTGACTGTCGTTGGACCACTGACCGCCATCCGATCAAGAAAAGTCAATTTATCAAACCTTTTTTGGACGGAGGGAGTATCAATCAATGAAAATATAAAAAATAATCAATCCACTGTTCAATTGCGCTTAACAGATCAAATAATGTGAAAGAATTAGAAGAAAGTAACTAACCTCAAAATTCTCAAAACACAATTTTGAATAAACCAACCCTATACAATATAACCTCACTAAGACACTTTGGCTGAGATTTGAATATATGGTATACTATCTTGACCTCGAAGGTCTTTTTTGGCAATCCAAGGAACTCACCACAACACAGTTTCAAAAAAATTGTCTACTATGTGTAAGACTATGAGAACTTTCAAAACAAGTCATCATGCATTACAGGTTATGTATTCAATTAGTAGCAAAAAAGTAGTGTTGCAGCGGGCAAGCTTATTCCGGCTACCAAGCATGAAAAGAAGACATAAATAAATCAAAGAGTTAGAAACATCAAGGCTCAAGCCCATACTTCTACCCAAACAGGTTGTGCGTCGTAGTGCCACCATCACTGTTTGTCTAGCACCTTCTCTCCTCGTCTCTGCAGCTTTTTCACTTCCCTGAAAATACATGTAAACTTGTTGCTTATGTCATTTGTAAAACACACGATGAGGCTTGGCAAATAATCAAATCATGCTTTAGTAAAAAAAAAGAACTTGGATGACTCATATGCTCGTCATTGATTAAGTACAAAAGAATCCAAATCTAACGAAGTAAAAGATCTGTAATGAAAAAAGACATGAACAATAAACGGGTGGACACTGTGCCTTAGTTAAAAAGAAAATTTGCAAACTATATAATACAACTCTTGGCAATATAGTACAAAATCACTGCAGATTGCACTTACCCCAACCAGAACATTTTCACTTAAAAGTTCAATTGTTGGCAAGATACCACAGCAAACAATACGATCAAAATGAACAAGTTACACGCTAAATTTACATATTAAAAAAATTCATAATTAAGGGTCCGTTCGGAACCCCTTAAACTATCAGGCAAAAAAATAAGAACAAAAGAAAATCCGAGTGAACATAAAAAGACAGTCTAAAACTGGAAAAAGTCGACTAATCTTAATGAAGTGGCTGAATATAAGATTGAACCCCAACAACCAACCTTCTCCTTTGAACCCGGCTATGGTAATAGATACAATGTTCCAGATAAGGCATAACAAGACCTACAAATCACAAAAGCTAAAAGTGATTGCACTTGTGTGGTGCATTCATATTTCTATTCAGAAAAAACTCTTCCACTAGGAAAAATTCTAATAGCAACTACAAACTTTATAAAACCGTATACAAATACATTTAACAAAAGATACAATATTTTGATGACAATTCTATTTTCAGTCTTGACATACATGGTTGAATGTAAAACAAACAATAAATCATGGTAGTGATGTTGCAAAGACAATTGAAAGAGTCATGGCCCTATTTTTTTATTCTTTCGAGAAGAAAAGAAACAAAAAAGTTCACTAACCCAAACAATCTTTTATTAGACAATTAAATAGTCAAGGTTGAGTAATTGTGATTTGTGTGCATTGCAAAAAAAATTAACACGTAATCTTTAATTTATAGTTCATGTACAAAGAAGCACTTCTTATTTCGTTATAGCTAAGTTTGAATAGTTTTTCTTGAACTCAGTTGAATGTAATGTCATATATCTTTCAGTTTTTCTTACTCTTTTTCCCTTTGCTTGGATTGTAATTAATTTTCCCAAGATACATTACACTATGGGCATTTCTCAAATCACATCAAGATTCAAACAAGCATGAGAAGGAAAACAAAAGCATGCAAGGATGGTCATAATAAAACTTGAAAATGCACCAGTATCACCTAAGGAGATGTACACATATGGAAGTATTTAGCTGAAACATCAATGCAGGGGTGCTACGCAAACTGAAAAAATAGTGAAACTACGCTTTGATGTCTTGCCCAACAATTTCATGAATGCCATCTGCAATATCATGGTGAATAATAGGAAGGAATGGTGGACACTTTTCCCCTCTATAATGATCTCAACTACTCAAAGACAAAGCATAGAATATGAAAGATTGTCTGGGTCATATGAGAGCTTAACTAAAACATTTTGATTCTATGCAATAGTGAGTAGATAATACATAGACATACCTCGTTTCATGGCACCTTGCTTTCGTTTTAGATCCTAAACAGAACACCGAAACTATATGCTTTAAAAAATATTCGAACACATAGGAATT